AATATCACGCCCACAGAAAGTGAAATATATATGAAAAATGAAAATCTTTTTAATTAAAAAATTAAAAGGAAAATTAAAGGGTTCCATTGATGGGCATTCCCCACCACGGCCTGCAAAGAAGGAAGCGTCTTCTCTGATTATTCATTTTCATTTCTATATTTGGGTGTTCTTCGAATCAAGGCCATAGCTTAATCTGATACGAGCTTTGTGTATAAGTTACCATTTGTTTCTCCTGCTCAATCCACGACCGATTTGAATTTTGGGAGCCCCCAGGAGAGGCAGAGTCCCGCCGGAGCATCTTCTGGGAGGGCGAGCAGCAAGCAGAGACAATGCCACGAGGTGAAGAGAGAGATGAGGGCGTAATGGCTACTGACTTCTTCTGGTCATACACCGACGAGCCTCACGCTTCGAGGAGACGTCAAATTCTTTCTCAGTACCCTCAGATCCGGGAGCTCTTCGGTCCTGACCCCTGGGCTTTCTTTAAGGTTTGGTTTCTTGTTTCTGATTTTTACTGTTTTGTGTGTTCGTGATTCTCAGAATGTAGGGAATTTTGGTTTTTTGATTTCGTGTTTAGATCTGAATTGTGACATTGCTGGACGATTCACATGTCATTGGCTGAATCTGATCTGTGTTCGTTTGTTTTTTCTCTTTGATTTTGAACCTTACATCTGCCACATCGCTGAATTTGTCATTGTTTTTGTTTTCCCAACCTCATTACTCGAAAATCTACATTTAACTTTCTGAATGCTTGTTTTTGTAGGAATCTTTCCACTTCGCTGCTAAAATTTCATCATTCTTATTGCTTAGGATCTTTTATTTTTTTGTTCGATTCCTGCATTCGATCTTTTCTTTTTGCCATCTACTGTTTATTTGCCGTGGGAGAATTAGCACCTCACCTCTTTTTACCACGAATTGGATTAGTTTTGTGATCTTAGCAGACGTTTAATTGCTTGATTCGTGTAGTCTGCAATTTAGGCTTTAAACCATTGATGAAATCTGAAAGAGAGATCGTTGAAGTTGAATTTTTAGACTAATGCTTTCTGTATTCGTCAAGAAAAGCAGATTGGTTATGATTATTTAACCAACTTCATCATCATTTTGATTCATCTGAAGAATGAGAAATTGGATGAACAACCATTTATGCTATGAACTCACAAGTGACCTTGTAGTTTTAAAGTTGAAAGTGACCGGAGTTTGGAAAGCCAATCATTAACTTGTTCTTGCAGATTGCTGTGGTTGTTCTGCTTCAGTTATGGACTGCTACGACCCTTCACAGTGCAGACTGGTTAAAGATATTGGCAGTAGCTTACTTCTTTGGCTCTTTTCTCAATCACAACCTGTTTTTAGCCATTCACGAGCTCAGTCACAACCTTGCCTTCTCAACCCCTGATCATAACCGGTGGCTTGGGATCTTTGCTAATCTTCCTATTGGAGTGCCCATGTCCATCACATTTCAAAAGTATCACCTCGAGCACCATCGCTTCCAAGGAGTGGATGGTATGGATATGGATGTTCCGAGCATGACCGAAGCTCGTCTGGTGACTAATATTGTTTTGAAAGCCATATGGGTTGTCTTCCAACTCTTCTTTTATGCTCTCCGGCCATTGTTTCTCAAACCAAAGCCCCCAGGCCACTGGGAGTTCATCAACTTCATTATTCAGATAGGTCTTGATTTCACCATGGTTTACCTTTGGAGCTGGAAGACTTTTGCTTATCTGATTCTCTCCACATTCGTTGGTGGCGGGATGCATCCGATGGCTGGTCACTTCATTTCCGAACATTACGTCTTCAATCCGAAACAGGAGACATACTCTTACTACGGTCCACTTAACCTTCTTACATGGAGTGTTGGCTACCACAATGAACACCATGATTTCCCCAGGATTCCAGGAAGCAAGCTTTACAAGGTGAAGGAGATTGCACCAGAATTCTACAATGAATTAGATTCATATAAATCATGGAGCCAGGTGATATACATGTACATTATGGACAGAACAGTGGGGCCATTTAGTAGGATGAAGAGAATGGCAAAGAAATCTGAGTAGTTGATCCGATCCTTCTCTCCCTTTTAGAATCTTTTTCCATCTGTTTTGATGGACCATTCTCTCTTCAGCTGGTTTTGCCATTGTTTTGATTATGTTCTTGGAGAGTTTTATTCATTCTCTTTAAGATTGTATAGTAGCCAGGCATGTTCCTTGTTCACTGTACTGTACTCGATTTTCAGGGCTTTTTGAGGGACCGTTTGTAAAAGGAGCCGAGCTTTAGCCAAACTAGATTCTCATAGCTTTGGTATTTTGGCAATTTACCGTTCTTACTTTGCCTACATATTTTCATCTTAATGTTTCCATAACTTTGAATTATGTTTATGTTTACCCTTTTTCATTTTCTCGATGGGTAGGGACGGAACGTCGGTGGAGAATATTTAGTTTCCACGTGATTCTAATCTCGTACTTTTTAGTCGAGTATATCACTTAATCAATTGAGTTATTGTAAGATCTCACATTAGTTGAAGCCGAAGCATTGTGAGATTTCACATCAGTTAGAAAGGGGAACGAAGTATTTTCTTATAAAGGTGTGGAAACTTCTTCCTAATGGAGGGGAGCGAAACATTCTTTACTAGGATGTAGGAAAGTTATAAGGGTGTGGAATCCTCTTCCTAATAGAGGGGAGCGAAACGTTCTTTACTAGGATGTAGAAATCTTTTCGTAGCAAAACATTCCTTAAAGAGTGTGAAAACATCTTCCTAACAGAGGAGAACGAAACATTCTTTACAAGAATGTGGAAACCTCTCCAAGCATACGAGTTTTATAATCGTGGGGCTGATGACTAACGGGCCAAAGCAGACACTATATACTAGTAGTTGGCTTTAGTTGTTAAAGTTGCGATCATGTTGGCAAATTCAATGGAGATTTTGGACAAGATAAAATTTGAAATCTTGAATTAAAATATTTTTATATGTGCCATTATAGAAATAAATTAAATGCTCGATAACTTAGTTCATGTGGACCGTTCATTTTCTTTCTTTTTTACAAAAATCTTGTGGACCATTCTTGAAAATTATCTTTTGTACCTGTCCTATTGGGCAGAAACGATAGCGACATTCATAGATGATACCAATCGTGTCATTCCAATCGATAGCGACATTCATACGAGTCCTTTTCTAATTTCAAAGACAAACATATTTTTAAACTATTATTTTAATTTCCAAAACTTGGCTTGATTTTTCCGTTCATAAATAAAAAATGATAAAAAAAATTAACAAATAATCTCACAGATAAAAGTATTATTAATAAATTTAGTTTTTAAAAACAAAAAACCAAATAATGTGATCGGTATAATTTAGTTTTAATATTTAATAAAATGACAAATTTAATCACAAACTTTAGGTTTATCTCATATATATATATTCTTTAACTTTTAATTTTGGTTTACCGAATTTCTAAAATTTAAAATTATTGATTTATAAATTTCTTCCTATTAAACATTCAAAGATGTATTAAATAAAAAATAAAAAATCCATAAATTAAACTTATAATTTTACTAGAGTTTTTTTATTCCATATATTTTTTTTTTCTTCTAACAATTTGTTTTATCCTCTGATATTTCTACTGCTTTTTTTTTTCTTTTTTCTAATTCAGACTGATTTATTTTTTAGTTCAATTAAATGAATTTTATCAATAAAATCCTATTTTCAGTAAAATTAATTTAAAAAGTTATTTTTTCATTACTTTTTTGCTAATTTTTTTATTAAAAAGTTATAAATTTGTCACTTTAATTATTAAAAAGAAAATCAATTTTGAAGATTAAAATTAGGATAATAAAATTCTATAAAGTTTAAAATTATAATGATTTAATCTGTAATTTAATATTTTTTACTAAAATTTATTTTAATTCGTTTTTAATACTACAATTTTTTTAGATAGGATAGTACGCTTTTAATTAATTATATTTTTAAAAATGATACTATTTGAATTATATATGGCGATTATTTAATTTTAAATATTTCTATTAAATAATCATTTTAGTCTCTATTTGGAAATGAATAAATATAAATGATAATGTAAATATGCTACCACACAAGTATGGCGATATGATTGGTCATAAGTATAGGTTTTACAGCGATGTGTACCTCTGTTTTGTCCAACCATGCACCATTCATTTTGGTCACGAGAAAAGTATACAAAATTAATGATGTATACTGTTTTAACTATCATGTGTTGCTATTGTTTTATTATGATAAACCCTAAACCACGATTATAGAATAGTCGTTAAAGACAATTCTTTGGTGGACAACTCTTTGCTTTGTTTGAGATTTTTTGAGGTGAAAAACGTAATACAGGGACAAGATATTTATAGTAGATATTTTTTAGACAATGCGCTCGTGACCCTATTGAGACAGTGATGATTTAATTCTTTGCAACTTGAAGACAACACCTGACTATACTAAAATACAAAAAGTTTTGTGCAAATATTCTTGCAAGTCATGGAATATAGAGAGGAGGACAAGTCAAATTTGATCAAAACTTTGCCCAATTGGGAAGGGTTGAAACAATTAAAGATGGTGCATACGGTTTATATATCAAAATATGTCAAGATACCTAAATTGACTCTATACCAGACTTCAGCTCCATTATACTTATCTCTACTAATGATTATAGATATCAAAATTTCTCTACCAAATGAGACTCTGGAAATCTTTCCGACCCCATTACATAAATACAACCACAGTTTTTTAAATGAAAGTCTACACCTAAGAGCTATTGTTTGCTTTAACTCAATATTGTCCAGTCTTTGTCTGATACGTATAGCTATCTATTTCACAATTTTTAAAATACGTCTACTATAGAAAAGTTTTCACATTTATTCATTGTTTCCGGGGAGAACCTGACCGTTTCAAGGTTCTCCACGCCAACACCTCAAAAACCCAATCCAAACTATGAGTATGGTAGCAAATTTATGAGGTTTGAACAAACAAATTAAAGTAGCAACCAAGACCAAACTTATAGAAAATACTCTTAAATTTATTGCGTTTTGAAAATCACCCAAAAAAGCCACGTAAATTCTCTCCAAAGAACAACCCGTGAATGAATTCAATTATTTCCGGTTGAGTTTTGGCCAAAAATATTTCCATGAGTTTCAGATTTTCCATTCATTTAATTTGGAATTTGGTTTAATGGTTTTCGTTCAAGATCTAGAAACTCCATATGCTTTGCTTTGATGAGTTGTGGATGTTATCCGACAGATTTCAATCCATCCCGGAAAACGGCCAGCATAGAACCGAAGGTAACAGTTCCGGCGAGAGTTCCGTCTTCTTGAATGACCCAAACGTAGCTAACTCGGTGAGCTAAAGCTTGAATCATTACTGCAACCAAAGAGTTCCATGGATGGCAAACAATCGCCTCTGATCTCCTCAATACTCTCGCTGAATATCCACCAATCTTCCAACTTCTCCCTGAACCACAACCAAATTCATCATCTGATAAAGAGCAAATCGAAGACGATGATGAGATTGGTGATGATTCTTCCTCGACAAACTCCAGAACCGCTTCTAAGTTTTTCTCTTCCAATCTTTCCTTCACTAGTTGTACTAAATCATCCGGAGGGCCGCCACAGTCTATGTACGCCATAAGCTCGCCTGCTGTGAGCGTTGCTATTGCCGCCACCAACGTTTCGTCGCAGAAGTTGAGAGTGAAGGGCGAAATTTCGCCGACTAATTTATCGTCCAAGTCAACAATGGCAACAGAGGATTGGTGAATCAGCGCTTGCGAAATTAGGGGCAGAATAGACAACGCAGAATCGTCGTAGTGGACGGTGAGAATGTTGTTTGTTTCAATTATATTGACGGAGTTAATAGGACTCGCGGCGGTAGGGCTGAAAAGTCCGATGGAATTGAGGAGATAACGAATTATGTCCTCCGGAGCCAACCAGCAATATTGTCGATCGTTATGGAGAGAGGAGATGGACTTGGAAGTTGCTGTCTCAAGGAAGTTCCTCCTCTTGCTTGCGCTCATATTGATTGGAATAACAAGGTTATGTACTCCATCGCGTATAAGATCGATCGCCTCCATTAAACTGAAAATCGAAAAAGAAGAAACGCTAACAATCCATCACAGAACAAAACCTAATTTCACAATTTACAAACAAAATCAATTACCGCTCCCAATGTAAATCAAATCAAGAATTTCAATCATTTCAAGATTCAGACCTGGCATGAGGCTCCAAATGTCTAACGAGTTCAAGTCCCTCAGGAATCAAAACAGAGATCGGAGATCGAAGCGCAATGGCCGGTTGCAACAAATTCTCTTGTCTGCAAAGAAAACAGATTATATCCACCATGCATACTTTACCAACGCAACGACAATGCAAATCCGATTCAGCCTCAGAAGAATGATCACCACAGCTCCAGACGCTGATGCAACCTTCGTCAATCCTTGTCAATACCGATAACGCGTCGGCGACGGTAGCGGAGATTGAAATCGATCGAATCGCAGGTTTTCCAAGGCATAGATCAGATATGTCGTGTGACAACAAACTTACTGCCATGCACAAGCAATTGAGATCTCAGAACAAACAAAAAGAGAGAATTGGAAGACAATCTTAGAATAAAGAGAAGAATCAATGAAGGTACAGAAATGGCGGTTCGGAGGGAGAGATAGAGAGAGAGAGAAATGATGAAATCGGGTCGGGTCGGGTTTTGAAGAGAGACGAAGGGATATTCATTATGAACAATTGATGGAATTGTTTAAATTTATAGTGCGTGATTTGTCTATCCGAGATGTGCCGCACGCGTTTTTTGTTTCTCTTTTTCGGTCCTTTTTAATTCACATAATTTCTTTATTTTTTATTTTATATAGTTTGTGTCTATTTTATTTCTAAAATTATAAAACTATCTCCAAATTTTAATTTAATTTCTTAAAAAATCTACCATATATTTAAAAAAAATTAAAACATGAACTAAAATCTTATATATTGTCACATGCATAGGATTTAAATCATGATTTAGAATCCCGAGCATAGAGATGTTACTAATAGTATTTAGAGCGAGACATAGAGGATTTGGACATAGTTTATTGATGAACCAATACAGAAATTATTGGGCCTGTGATATCCCAGTAAATGAAGATTTGGATATGGTTTGAGGATGAACCAAGACGATCAGGATTTCGAATTTGGGGCATGGAGCGTTACTGATAGTATTAGAGCGAGGCATGAAGGATTTGGATATGGTTTGAAGATGAACCAAGATAGAGATTATTGGGTATGTGATGGTTTGGAAAATGCTTATCATGATTGAAAATTACTAGCATATATTGTTCTATTTGGTCCGTTGTAGTTAGCTTCACGATCTTAAAATGTGTCTATTAGAGAGAGGTTTTCACGCCCTTAATAGAAATGCTCAATTTGCCTCTCCACTCGATGTGAGACCTCATAGTTACTGCCTATACGAATAAGGTATATTCTTCTTTATCGATAGCTTAATCATAAAAACTCTAAAACTAAAAGTGAAAAGCATTTAAGACAATAACCGTCGGAGAGATGTAGGAGAACGGCGTCGAATTAGAATTTTAAATTATGATCTAAATTATTGGCATGAGATGTTATATAAAATTACATTTTTATATTTTAATACAATATTTTTTTAGAATTTAAATCTTTTTGTAAAATATATATATATATAAATGGGTCATTACCAATTTTTTTAAGAATAATTTATCATTGTCAATAAACGACTCAAGTATTTGACTTTTTTTATGTCAAGAAATTGATATTAACGATAGTAAATAACCATCCATAAAAGAAAAATGTTTAAATTGGCATTGTGTCAGTGTCGTGAAAACGTTAACAATGTCATGTTTTTAATATTAAGAACACATTAATAACACTTTCTTAGACCACGTGTTTTTAGTATAAACATGTTTTCGTAAGATATCTTATCGTTAATAAAAGCTCGTAGGATGACAACTATTTATTGTGATAAATGTTCGGTTGATGATAATATTACATCATTAAATAAATGCATCTCGGACCATAAATGTTTAATGTGAAAAAAAAAATGATTATAATGTCATGTTTTTAAAATAAAATACTCAAATTTTAAATAATTTTAAATAAGGAAACTAATAACCAAACTTGATAAAGTTGTGAAGAATCTAAGTATGATAAGTGTTGTCTCAAAGTTTTTCCACTAACACAACAAAAAAAAGCTCAAATATCAATAACTTGTTTGGTAGCTTCATTAACGGGGTGGGTTCGTGTAAGACCTAGCTAGAAAATAATGTTCGTTTTAGATTTTTACTGTGTGACATTTAAGTAAAATGGAGTACATGAATGAACCGAGACTAAATTTGAATAGAAATGGTTTTAAGAATATGATGATTAAAGAATGCTTAAAAATTTGATAGTTACTACCTTTACCAATAAGATGTATCATTTTTATGGTTCAATTCTGTGTTTGCTTAAGAAGTATGTGGGCGAGAATAAAACATGTTTCTATGTGAGGATAGTCTTCACTTAAGAAATTTAAAATAATACGACCATATCAAAAGTGTAACGACCCATACCCAAGATTTGGATAAGGATTTGGAATCTAGATTCTTCCAGTATTTTTTTGTATCCCAAGAAAATTTCTAAGTCCTCCAACATAAAATTTATTCCAACAAACCATGCTTCTTATTATTGATCCAGGGAAAGAAAAAATGCATTTTATTGGTATAGATAGTAGTTTTCGAGTTTTGTCTTGATCATCTTATTCTCGGTATCACTCTTATTTAGATGTGGTTTTTGATTCATTCACCTCATTTACTCGAGTGTCACGAAACAATAGAAATGTTATTTTATAAAATGGGATTTGGCATTATCTTTGAGCTGAATGGATAAGATAAGTACAAAGAATAATGAATTGTGAAATAAAAACACTAAGAAACAAAGAGTTTGACCAATTCAATCAAAATGGAGGCGTCAGAATTTTGTGTAGTGGCTAAAACCAACGGTGGCAACGGCACGCGGACAAATGACAGGGAACGGTCCATTTAGATTGTAATGCCTTCCGTAATTGGTCTCCCAATGAGCTGCGTACGTGACCTTCGTCAATAGATCTGAATCACTTCAACATATATTATATAGAAATGCAACTAGTCGTCAATATTTCATGTTATCTAATTCATTGTGTTACATTTCTTGTTTACTGTCTATAATATTGCTTTTGAACTTTCTTTTAAATATTGCTTCTTCGAAAATTTCACTGACCTCGTATTTTTTAAAATTTTGTTCTTAAAACGGAGTTGAAGGCTTGAACACACATCGTCCAGCCGTAACCGTAGGCGAGTCAGCTGCCAAGAACATTGTGATTGTAACACAAGGTGGGGTGGGGACAAATAAGCCTTCCTCATACTTCAGTAACCAAAAATGACAATGATGGGATGATATAAATGCATGAGCTTAATTAAGTCAAATTAGAAATGTGCCTACAACTTCAGTAACCAAAAATGACAATTATTTGGCACAAATTTGGCACAACACGATACGGCTAAATGAAGCATGTATCCATTTCTTCATTGCAAGGAAAGGTCATTTATGTTGTTCCTCTTCCATTTCAGAAACAAAACCAAGGAGAGCTCCATGTTAAGACATAACCATTTGCTTCTATCTGACCTGAAGGAAGAATTCTTTCTACAATAATCTGTCAAAGAATCATAACAGAATTACACACGTGTCTCTATCGAGCATATGGTTGCGACAATACTCGGGCTTGATTGTTCGTTCCATGAGGCTGTTGAGTTTCAGGAATGATGCAGACTATGGGATGTTTACTTCTCAGTGTTTTAAGTAAATAATGCAGGAAGTAAACTATCTAAAGAGAGCAAATCAGCTAACCCGAGCAAAGTTGTTCATTCCAAATCGACATAAATCTGCAGTCAAACATAGATTTCCAATCAAAAGAAGACAGGCACAAAGAAAAGGTATCTGAAGGTATATCTCATTTCTTTATGGGTATGATAGTTTCAAGCAAGAGAAGGAATTTATGTGTTCCACAAAACAAAAGGTATCTCCTAAAAGAAAACTTGCAACTCAAGCACTTACTCTCACACAATACATAAAATGAAAGGATCATAACCAGAATAAAATAGAATCATTTAATGATTTTACATCTAATTAACATTTCTACCACCAACGCTACCCCTTAAACACGCTTAAATATATCTTTCATTGTCGGCTTATCAATCATTTATCGAGTTTACCTTAAGTAGTCTTTTAGTCCACACATTGGCAGTTTTCTGTGTACTAGGGAAATGAGGAATACACCACACTAGTTTCAATTTTCTCCTTTACAAAGTGTTTGTCGGATTTGATATGTTTTGTCCTAATATGTAGAACTGTATTTTGGACTATAGAGATGACTGTAACAGCCAAAGGTGGAAACCTCTCTCTAACAGACGCGTTTTAAAATCCTTGAAGGGAAGCTCAAAAGAGAAAACCCAAAGAGGACAATATCTACTAGCGGTGGACTTGAGTTGTTACAAATGGTATCAGAGCCAGACACCGGGCAATGTGCTAGTGAGAAGGCTGAGCTCCACAAGATTTTAAAACGCGTCCGTTAGGGAGAGATTTCCACACTCTTATAAGAAATGTTTTGTTCCCCTCTCTAACCGATGAAGAATCTCACACAACCAATCCCATAGGTTTGAATGAATCTATTTGCAACTAATCTTTCTTTGTATCTTTCGATATTACCATCAGCATTACACTTAATGGTAAAGAGCCATTTACACCCCACTGCTTTCTTATCTCTTGGTAAATCTACTATTCCCCAGGTACCATTATATCTTAGAGCATTCATCTCTTCAGTAGCAGCAAGTTTTCAAGTTGGAGCATCCAAGGCCTTCTTGTATATTCCTTGGGATAAATAAGTTGCATAATCAAGACGCGAAAGCTTTATAGATTTGACAAATTTTTGTACGAGATACAATTTGCAATGAGATATTTATGCAAGTTCTGGCACCTTCTCTAAGCAATTGAGATATCAATATCATATGCAATAAGCAATGTATTATCAATGGGGCTATCAAGATCATAGGCAATAGCAAGATATTATCACCAACCGAAAACTAAAGCAAACCAAATCAAAACCAAACTAGATTTGAACCAAACCAAATTGGATATTGTCAAACAAACTGGAGAAGATATTACAAGAACGACAGATCATATACCACACAAAGGACTCGACCAAAATGAGAGTTTAGGGAGTGGAAAGAGGTCTAATAGTTAAGAGAGGTCTGTCAGAAAACAATGAGCAAAACGCGTAGAGATGCGACACGTTTTGAAGAAATAATTGAAAAAAAACTGTACGACGAACCACCCATGAACATAGAGTTCCAATGGTGGCGAGAGAAGAAGATGGAGGCATGTAAACCTTATCAGAGACTGCAGATCTCGTTGGCAAAGGTGAAACTCATCGAACCTAGTGGAAGTAACAAACCCTCTACAAAGATTGACAGCAACACAACCAAGAACCAAGAACCCACTGCAAAGATCACGGACAACCATTTGACCATAAAGACCTTCGCCGACGAACAAAAAATGCATCGATCGGCAGATAGCCTCACTTAAAGTCAGCAGATAGGGTTTTGGTGGTCGTGGTGGCTAGGGGTTTTTTTTAGGGATGTTAGGAATACCCAGGGTAAAACTTCATCGATACCATCTAGATTTGAATGGAATAAAATGTT